CTCAGTTACCAACAACCAACCAATCTCCACTGCCCTCTCATTCCATCTACTCAGTTACCAACCAACCAACCAACCAGTCGCCATGGAGCCGACCCCATCTGTGTCAGAGTAGACCTATGTATGCTCTATAGAGTTTTTAGTAGCTGTGATCTTTTGGAAGTGGATCGCCAAGCCTTTTTTCTGAGGTGCCTCTGGGTAGACTGAAACGCCCAGCCTTCAGTTAGAAGCTGAGCACGTAACCATTTGCACCACCCAGGACTCCAGTCCACCCTGTTAGTCGTCCCAAATTTCAAATTTCTCAGTAGGCCATACTCTTTCTCCCTTCTGTGCCTTTGTACATCTGATTCCTTGAACTAGAATGTACTCCCTCCACTGCTCCTGGTGAACTCCTAGTAGTCCTTCAAGACCTGCGTCAAATATTACCTCCGAGGAAAGCCTTCTCCCACCGTGGTGGGGGTTCCTTATTTTGTGCTGCTCTATCATTCCACTGTTCTCTAGTAGGGTCAGCACTCACCCCTACGAGAGCACCTACATATTCCACTGAAAGTGCCTCTTGCAATCATTTGACAAAACTTTATCAAGCACCTCATATGCCAGATACCATGTTAAGCGCTGAGAATATGACAGAAGTAAGGGCCTGGTCCTTCAGCTAACAGTCTGCTGGAGAAGACAGATGTCTCAGCAATCATCACAATCTTATATACTAGTTGTTTATATACCTGCCTTTAGAACTGCAGAGAGTCTTCTCTTCGGGACAGGGAATGTGGTTTATACATCCCTATACCACCCCGCCCCTGCGAAGTGACCTTCAGAGGGTTGGTTAGCTGAATGAATAACAGACAACCCAGTAGGGAAAAAATGGGCAAAACAGTGAACAAGAAGTTCCCAAGGGGAATTAAAAATATCAGTAAACCTACGTAAAGGTGCTCAACCTCATTACACTAGCTAAATGCGCATCAAAGCCACAGTCAGGTGTCACTGCCCATCCACTAGACTGGCAATGTCTAAGCAGACCAGGCGGGGGCAAGGAGGCAGAGCAGCTCCTGCTCATGCTGCAAGGACAGTGTACCACCTTGGAAACCAGTCTGCCATTATCTAGGAAAGGTGCAGATACACACACTCTACGATTCAGAATTTCACTCCTAGATACATACCCCACGGAAAAGTGCTTAGTACACCAGGATACGTGTACAAGAAGCCCACAGGGCATTACTCATACTAGTCCCAAACTGGGAACGACCCAAACGTCCATCAAAAGTAAAACGGATAAATACATGGTGCCAGATTCCTACGATGGAATATCATACAGCAACAAACATGAAAGAACTATAACCACACACGATAAGGGAGGTAATGATATAAACACCATACTGAGTGAAAGCAGCAAGATACATATTGTATGATTCTACTTACCTAAAACCAGGTAAAGCCACACCCAGGGCTAAACTAAATCATGTACTCTACGGTAAGATTAAGACAAGATGGTGGTTACCTCTAGGGAGGAAGCAGACAGTTTTCGCTGGGAAGGAATACTCTGGGGGGCTGGCAATGTGCTACTTCTTGTCTTGGATGGTGTCTACATGTATGTTTGCTTTCCAATCATCCATTATTATGTTTTAAGTATAATTTCAAAAGGTGCAAAAAATTCCGGCAGCAATGCCAGCCCATCCCCTCCTGTCCTATTCTCCATTTAAACAAAAATGAGTTTTGTCTTACTTCTGCCTTCTTCCCTCCAGGCTAAACAATCCCACAACCTTTAGCCCTTCTTCAGGAATGGTCGAGAAAGGTTTTAACCACAGCTACTGTGCCAGGGAAGCAGCAGTGCTGCCCTCTGGCCCCTTTGAATCTAACAGAGGATGTGATGGAGAAGCTGAAAGGGGAAATTGCTTTCCCAAACAGAGGGTCAGTTTATGCCTTGAAACAAGAACAACCGCTATTGTCATTTAATCTCAGCAGCTCAAGTAACTGCAGACAGTCTTATTCATAAACGTTTCATCTCCTCCCCCTCAGTAATTGTTTTAACTCCCACAGGGTTGTGAGGTGGTGACGTAAATCTTTTTTGCTGTTCTATTGTAGGGACTTGACAGTTGGATGAAGCTCTTTTAAAAATTAACCAAAAGTAACAGGTTTATTGCAGAAAAAGTCAGACAGGCGAACACAAGAAAATAAAAACCATGCTGAATCCTTCACTGGTCCCTCTCCTTCCTGTGCTGTCCCTATACAGAAAGGCACTCCAGAGCACGCAGTGGTCCTCTCTAACATAGGGGGCTCTTCCTATAAAGAATGGCTGACGCCCCCCCTCAACGGGCCTGTGAGTGTCTCCTGATGGCCTATAAAGTAATCCCCAACGCGAATGCCAAATACAATCCTTCACGTGTACATACAACCAAGGGACACTTATTAGTAACCTTCTAAATTATGAAGAGTTACCATCTACAATTAGACAGTCATGAACTAGCGTTTACTGAGGCCTCCGACACAGTATTCTCAGGGGTCTGGCTTCCACGCAACTCTGCCAAGCTCTGGCTCTCTGTGTGCCTTCACGGGGCTGGACTTCCCCATTTATGGGGAAGGACACGTTATAATCAGGGTAAACTGAGCTGGTTTTAGTTTCCAGTCACTGCTATTCTTGCTTTTTAGCCAGAAATAACTGCTAGTCTGGCTTCATAATGATTAATTTGGTTTGTGGTGGCTTTTCTGTTTAATCTTACTATGCAGGGATGCATATTCACAAGCATCTTTTTAGTCTATAATTTCCTGTACGCAGACTTTACTACACATATGGGCTGCATTCACTTGGATCGTCTGTCTCCCCACCGTAAAGCAGCTGTCTGCAAACTGCTTCTCTATTTGCTCGTACAGTGATAACTGCAACAGAAATACACTGCTTGTGCGTGTGTGCTACTGAAACAATTTGTGACATAATATCAAAGAAGGTAATAAGTACCGAGTTATTTTTAAGTACTAGAGCATTGTTTTAGAATACACCATGCACATAAATAAACTCACATTCCTATCCTAATGCCTAGAAAATACATAATAAGCAATTCACTGAGTTGTGAGGCACAAATTCATTGCCCTCGTCCTCCCCTTTCGTTTTCCTTCCTCTTCAATTCTTTACCATTGAGGTTTTTATTCCACTAAAATAGCTACTTCAATTATCAACATAATTTTCAAAATTCTTAGGGTCTTCCCACTGTAACCCCACTTGCTTTGATAGCCCGTAAGGCTTTTTGTAAGGAGTTCCTGGCTGGCGCAAATAGTTAAGTACTGGGCTACTAACTGAAAGGCTGGCAGCTCAGTCCACCCAGGGGCGCCTGGGAAGAAAGGCCTGGTGATCTACTTCCAAAAGGTCATGATCATTAAAGCCCTATGGAGCACAGTTCTACTCTGCAACACATGGGGTCACTGTAAGTCAGAACTGACTCCATGGCAACAGGTTTGGTTTTTTTTGGGGGGGTTTAAGGCTTACTGTAGACAGAGGAGTTGCCCAACTGACTGAGTAGTCCCTGAGGCTGATGTATATTTTACTGATGTTAATGATTACAACTGGTTTTTTGAGCTACAAGAGATATGTCAAGTACCTCCAGAAGGAACCAAACCCGTTGCCGTCAAGTCGATTCCAACTCATAGCGACCCTACAGGACACAGTAGAACTGCTCCATAGGGGTTTCCAAGGAGATGCCTGGTGGATTCAAACTGCCAACCTTTTGCTCAGCAGCCGTAGCTCTTAACCACCACGCCACCAGGGCTCCCAGA